GGGGGTGGGGGTGGGGGTGGGGGTGGGCTTTGAGATTTGACAGCCCAGCCTTACTTCCTGTCTGTTCTTCTGCTTCCTGAGGGTACCATGTGACTGTCACCCCAACTTAGGTACTCATGCTTGGATAGTAGGTACTTTACCTCCCCACCCTCCTAATATCTTTTGGAAATAGTCTTATGTAGCCCAGGCTGGCCTTGAACTCTTGATCTTCCTGACCCAGCTTTTCAAGTGCTAGATTCCAGACATATACCATATGAACACCATGGCATGTTTATGAGTTAGAATCTGCATCACGTTAATTCTGAGCCTCGTGTTCACTCTTCTTTGAAAAGCTACAGGGAGGGGGGTGGAGAGATGGCTCAGTGGTTAAGGGCACTGGCTGTTCTTCCAGAGGACCCAGGTTCAATTCCCAACATTCACATGGCAGCTCATAAACACCTTAACTCCAGCTCCAGGGGAATCTTGCATGCACACACCCATGAACTGACACACATAATTAAAAGGGAAATAAATCTTAGGAAAGAAAAGCTGTAGGGAACTTGGCTGATGGGGGATGTCCTTTTGTATGCTGTGAATATATGTCTCTCTTATTGGTTGATGAATAAAGCTGTTTCAGCCAATGGACAGGCAGGATTTAGCCAGGCAGGAAATCCAAACATGGATAGAGAAAGGTAACTGCCAAGAAAGCAAGAGACCCAGGCATCACCGCTAAGCCAAGACCACATGGAGATATACAGATTAATAGAAATGGGTTAATAATTAAGAGAGAGCTAGCCAATAAGAAGCCTGAGCAATAGGCCAAACAGTTCATAACTAATATAAGCCTCTGTGTGTTTCTTTGGGGCTAAATGGCTGTGGGACTGGGCAGGACAGAGCCATCTACACTTGGCTCTCTGTGTTGGTCTTTTAAGGAGGACACTTAAGGATTTAGTCTCCGGGCAACTCCTCCTTATGTCCCTGGACCCCATGCTGTGATGTGAAGAGGGGCATGTCACATGACTTACCCTGGAGCCCAGGACTTCCAGCTGGTACTCCTTTTCTTTGTTCTGGCTCTTTAATTGACTCACCTCCTCCTTCAGCTGTTGAACCTGCTCGTCCCGTGCTGTCATGTCTTTCTGTAAAGACGTCACCATCCCTGTTTTAAACGAAGCAAGAGATCAAAGACACAGTCAGGGTTACTGTCATGGCTACTACCATCAGCCACTGAGGACCCCAGGAGCAGGAATGGCGCTGAGACCATTTCTTCCACACAGAATCTCTTCCCAGGGGAGGAGAGATGCTCAGCGTTGTCAGGCTCAGCGTTGATACCTGAGCTCATTTCCCTCACTCTCTAGTTGGTTGGTTGGTCGGTCGTTTTTTGAGATAGGGTCTCGCACTGAGCCCGGAGCTCATCAATTATATGAATCCCAGAGGTCCTCCTGTCTCCACCTCCCCAGTGCTGGGATTGCCAGTGTGCACTGACTGAGCCTGACTTTTTACATGAGTTATTGGGATTGAACTTGGGTCCTCTGGCTTGCCTGGCAAATACCTTACCGACTCAGACCTTTGTTCCAGAATTCTTGACACTCTTCCTTTTTTTCCCTCCTAATGCCTCTATCCTCTTCTGGTCTCTAGACACATTGCTCTCTGCCTCAAATACCCCGATGGCTTCCCAACACACTTAGAAGACAACCCCTGTGGGATCTGGCTCTGCCTTCTCCTCTGACCCCATCTCTCTCACAATCTCTTTCCCCGAGACAAACTCACCTGTTGCTCTCTCAGCAGAGCTAGCTGGCTCCTACCCCAGGACCTTTGCACATGGGCTAGCAGCACACTGTTCCTAAGGGCTCCTCCTGTAGACACGTGTGGGTCCCTCTCCTCACTCCCGAAGCCCTGGACCACCATGTCATCCCATTTCGTTTTCTTTACGGCATCATCCTGTCCCTCAAACATGCTTGCCTGCTTACCTATTTGCCTGCCATTATGTCATCCTCAGCCATATCTGGGCCTGGAGTATAGGAATTGATTATGATTTGCTCAGGGCTCTCCTCCCAGAGTCCAGAACTAGACCCAGCGGTTGTCAGTGAATGTGATATGGAGTGGATGGATGGAGTGGATGGATGGATAGATGGAGGGAGGGATGGATGGATGGATGGATGGAGGGATGGAGTGGCTGGCAGGGTGGTCCATATGTTGACTGTCCCCTCCCACATTCTTGAGCACTGAACTGCATTAGTTGATCAGTTAGTAAGATGTTTTCACTAGGGCCAAAAGCCCATTCAAGGAAATGGTTCTCAGTACGCCAGACCACTCAGCATCTTTGTTCTCCCTGAAGTGATGGGTCCTAGCCAAGAGATGTTGAGTGACTTCTATCACAGCATGGCTGCCCCTGAGGTGGTCCCTTGTGCTAAAGCTGGCTGGTGAGCACACTTCTGGGGAAGACCTGAGGGTTTCTAAGAACTCTGAGGCTCTGTCCTAGCTCAGAGAGCAATGTGTAGTGGTTGATTGGTGATGTCTGCCAGGGCTACAAGTGTGAGTGATGGGGGTAGCCTCTCCTAAGCCTGCCTCCAGAAGAGCTCACCTGATGTGATGGCATGGTCTCTCTTCAAGTGTTCGCCTTCATTCTTCAGTAATGCGATTTCCGAGTTTCGGTCAGCCAGGGTCTGGCTTAGCACCTGGCTATAGCCTTTTTGAAGGGCATCGATCTGTGGGAGGAGGCAGCACAGAGTCAGAGGACACTGGACCAGGTCCAAGACACACGGGTATTCCCCAAACCTGGCACAGACTGAGATCTGCCTCATGATTTGTTTCAGTACTGACAAAGGTGCCGCTGCCCCACTGCCCTGGGATACCTGTCCTCTTAATGTGCATTTTTATGTCAGTGGAACTCTCAGCCATAAACAGAGCAGTGTGGGGTTTCCCATCAGCTGCCACGGGCTACATGTCAAGCAGAGTTCAAGAGAGGACACAGGTTGTAACCTTAATTTCCTTAGATGACAGTAGACATATTTCACAGATCCCCAGATTAACTATGGATGTGATCCAACACACAACCAGGAACTGATTTAAAATACTATGAGTTTTAAGGACAATTTTATGGCAGGGGGTTGGTCATGAGCACACCACAGTGCACGTGTAAAGGACAACCATCTCTGGCAAGATAAGACCATGTAGAAATACATAGATTAGTAGTTATGGCTTAATAACTAAGTCAGAGCTAGCCAATCGGAATCTCAAGCCACTGGCCAACAGTTTCATAATTAAAATACTGTCTGTGTGTTTATTTGGGGCTCTAAAGGGTGGCGGGACCCTGCCAGGACTAAGAGCCATATGTTACACTACCACATTCAGAGAGAGAGAGAGAGAGAGAGAGAGAGAGAGAGAGAGAGAGAGAGAGAGAGAGATGGGTCCTGGGTCCTGTCTTAGTTTTGTTTGTTTTGTGTTTGTTTTTGTTTTTTAGACAAGTTTCTCTATGTAGCTCTGGCTGGCCTGGAACTCACTATATAGTCCAGGCTGGCCTCAAACTCACTGAGATCTGCCTGCCTCTGCCTTTCCCAAATACTGGGACTAAAGGCCTGCATCACTATGCCATGCCTGGTCCTGTCTCTGCTTTTAGTTCTGTGAACATGGTCATGCTAGTTCCGACTGTTCAGGGCTGCGGAGAGATTTTATAAGTTAATAGCCTTAAAAGTGCTCAGACAATGTCCCGTGGACATATAAATATTAGCTATGATTATATGACTATCCCGTGCTGTTTTGGCTTTAGCTTCTGGTTGACAGACTATAATAGCTACCGGGTGACTGCTGATGGACCATCACGTGCTGTCACAGCCATGGCATGAAAAAGACCCAGATTTGGGGTGGGAGGAGGCGACACAATGCTGCACCTGCATTTTACCACTAGATGGCGCCCTCAGGCCTGTGTTGGGCTTCCCTCTGAGCCTGAATAGAAACCCTTGGTAAAATCAACAGGGGGATTTTATTCAGTCATAATGAAAAACAAAACTGCAAGAGAATAGACGAACCTGGAAAATATTATAATAATTTTATCAGGCAGCCACGCCTGATCTCAGAAAGACAAACACCATTTGTTGTGCCTCACATGTGGATCTTAACTTTTTTTTTTTTTTGTATTTACTTATTTGTGTATGAGCGTGTGCCTGTATGTATGTCGTTGTATTTACTTATTTGTGTATAAGCGTGTGCCTGTATGTATGTCGTTGTATTTACTTATTTGTGTATGAGCGTGTGCCTGTATGTATGTCGTTGTATTTACTTATTTGTGTATAAGCGTGTGCCTGTATGTATGTCGTTGTATTTACTTATTTGTGTATAAGCGTGTGCCTGTATGTATGTCGTTGTATTTACTTATTTGTGTATAAGCGTGTGCCTGTATGTATGTCGTTGTATTTACTTATTTGTGTATGAGCGTGTGCCTGTATGTATGTTGTTGCACCACTTGTATCCGTGATGCCCTGGGAGGCCAGAAGAGGGAATAGGATCCCCTTGGAACTGGAGTTACAGGCAGTTGTGGGCCGCCATGTGGGTGCTGGGAACTGAACCTTGGTCCTCTGCAAGAACAGCCAGTGTTATTATTGGATGAGCCATCTCTCCAGCCCACTTCTAATGTTTTTGTATGCACTATCTGTGTGGGAGTGGGGAAGGGTAAATGCCAGGAAACTAGAAAGGGACCATGAGAGGGGAAGGTTTCTTTACACGGGAAATGGCCCTATAATTCAATCTCAGCAAATGTCAAGTACAGTTTGGTTAGATTAGGCCAATCATAGAAGCTTAAAGTTTCTCATTAGGCTGTTAGGAATTGCTGTTCAGATTCACTTCTTAGTAATAAATGATGCTACTACTGAAGGCATGTTTCTTCACATTTTTACACATTTAACCCTTCCCAGTGAGTTCTGGTTTTTGTTTGGATCTTGATGCCTTTTACCTTTCATTAATTGTCATTATGTAAATTTAAACCGCCTTCACTTTCACTAGTTCTTATTGTGTAAACTCAAATCTTCTAATAAAAATTTAAATAATGGAAAAAATCCAGGGAAGGTAAATAAGTGTGTGTGTGTGTGTGTGTGTGTGTGTGTGTGTGTGTTTGTGGTGGAGACACACAGGGCTGTTCCCCTGCCCACACTTGGAGCTACACACCCGGATCTGATCTGTGCTTTGGAAACCAAGGATGATGAAAAGCTCACCTCTACCTGCTTACCGTAAAAGACACCTGTATTTAAAAATAAACGTTTCTAGGGGCTTCAGAGAAGGCTTAGTCGGTAAGAGAGCTTGCAGCTCAAGCACAAAGATCCGAGTATGGATCCCAGCACCCACATGACAAACAACAGTGTCAGCACACAAGCCTGGAAGCCAAGCCCTGTGGGGGACAGAGAAAGAGAGGTCCCTGGGGCTTGCTGGCTGCCAGCCTAGCTCCAAGCTAAGAGATCCTGTCTCAGAGGAAGATGACTGGGAGGGACAGGTGTGTGCACCCATTCACACGGGCAGGCATACACTATACACACTCAAAACTAAAAACAAATGAACATTTCTAATTCTTAGCCTAAATCTTTCTTGTGCAGGACACCAAAGGCATTCTCTAAAGATGAGCTTGGGGCAGGGATAGGAGGGGTTGCCCCTAAGAGTTCAAGCCCATTAGATGGAAAACATTTCAATCAAGACCACAGCCCCAGGGTCTCAAACTGCAAACAGCTTTCAGACGTCTTCATAACCTTCATTACCTTCATTACCCAAATAAATATCCAGATTGTCTGTCATTGGCACAAACCCCAGGATGTTTATTGCCTGGTTAGGTTGCGTAATAAAACGGGTACTGGATCATAAGAAAGCTAACAGCGCTGGGAAGAATGATTGCCTCAAGGTACTAACCAGGCTGATGGTGCAAGTAATAACCAGTCTGCTAGTTAGCGCAGGCACGGGGAGGAGAGGTAATAACCAGCCTGCAGGGAGGAGAGGTAATAACCAGCCTGCTAGTTAGTGCAGGTGTGGGGAGGTGAGCGTGTTCTAGCGGCATGGAGGCAGATGGAAGAGCTTTGAGAGCAAATCGATAGGTACAAGTTTTCTGGGGACCTTCGATAACACATAAAATAATCAGAGCCATTAATTAACATGCCAGCCACCTTGATTTCTGCCGGCAATAAAATAGTTCAGAAGCTAAAACAAGAGCCGGTGGAACTGGATTCGGGTTTAGATCCATTGCATCCTTGGGTTCAGAGAGGCTGCGATAAAATAGCCCACAAATTTATTATGTAAATTTAAACTCCTTCACTTTCACTAGTTCTTATTGTGTAAACTTAAATCTTCTAATAAAAATTTAAATAATGGAAAAAATCCAGGGAGGGTAAATGCCAGTGTGTGTGTGTGTGTGTGTGTGTGTGTGTGTGTGTGTGTGTGTTTGTAAACAAAGCATCCCTTTCGGTTACCACTGACAAGTGTGATAAGCAAATGTGGTTGCTTCTAGATCATTCCCAAGGAAAAATAAAACAATATTTTCAGATGTCACTAGTTACTTGAAACACTCAAACACTCAAATTGTGACCTGCTGCCACAGACTCAGAGATAGGGTAGGTGGGTGCCTGTCCTGGTTTGATTTCTGTTGCTGTGGTAAACACTATGACCAAAAGCAACTTGGGGAGGAAAGGGTTAACTTCATTTTACAGTTTATAGTCCATCATGGAGTGGGGCGGGAATCCCGGTGGGAACCTGGAGCCATGGGTTGATGCAGAGGCCATGAAGAGTGATCTTTACTGGTTTGCTCTTCACAGCTCGCTCAGCCTTTTCCTTTCTTGTCCCCTTTCCTTCCTTCCTTCCCTCCTTCCTTCCTTCCTTCCTTCCTTCCTTCCTTCCCCTCTTCCTCCTCCTCTCTGCCTCTCTTTCTTTTTGGGACTGGGTTTCTCTGTGTAGCCCTGGCTATCCAAGAACTCACTCAGTAGACCAGCCTGGCCTCAGACTCACAGAGATCCGCCTGCCTCTGCCTCCCGAGTGCTGGGATTACAGGTGTGCGCACCACACTGGCTCAGCCTGCTTTGTTATAGAACGAGGCCCTCCAGTCATTAACAGCTTATGTACACAACCAATGTGACCACACATTATTATTTCTTTTAATTTATTACATATACACAGATGTGTATGCAGGCATGTTCATGTGTTTGTATTTGCATGTGCATGTGGAGGCCCAAGGTCAACCTCACACCTTATTTTTGGGGAAGCCGTTGACCATAGTTTTTGAGACAGGGCTTCTTGTTGGGACCTGGGGCTGGCCTCTTTGGATAGACTGCCTGACTGAAGAGGCTCAAGGCCTGTCTCTATCTCACCAGTGTTGGCATTACAAGTGTGTACCACCATGCTTTACTTATTTGAAATATTTTAATTATACATACTTTTTTATTATTTTTAATTACTCATATTTACATATCCACCCCCCCCCATTCCCTCGCCCTCCCCTCCTCCCATGTTCCCCACCCAACCCATCCCAACCCACCCCCCAGACTCCTCCCCAGGGATAGTGAGGCCCTCTACTAAGGACCTTCAAAGTCTGTCATATTGTTTGGGGGAGGGTTATATATACATTTTTTTTTTTTTTGGTTTTTTGAGACAGGGTTTCTCTGTGTAGCCTTGGCTATCCTGGAACTTGCTCTGTAGACCAGGCTGGCCTCAAACTCACAAAGAGTCTCTTACCTCTGTCTCCTGAGTGCTGGGATTAAAAGCATGCATCACTACCACACGGCTTAATTAGAAATTTTTAGAAAAATTTTATACGTGAGTCCTGTGTTTCCATCATTTCCAGCTCTCCCTCCCCCTCCAATCCCTCCTGTCCCAACTCCCAGCAAGTTCACAGCTTCCTCATCTTTAATTTTTTTTCCCCAAAACAGGGTTTCTCTGTAGCTTTTGGAGCCTGTCCTGGACTCACAGAGATCCGCCTGCCTCTGCTTCCCGAGTGCTGGGTTTAAAGGTGTGTGCCACCATGCCTGGCTCATCTTTAATTATTATTGTTACATTTATACATATATATGTACTATAAACTGTTAAATAGATATATAACACAGATATACGTGTGTGTGTGTATATATAGGGTATACATATGTATACACATACATAGGATATATAACGCAGACATATTTATGTATATATATAGGATATTTATCTATGTGTGTTTATACAATATCTATATCTATCTCCAAGTCCACTTTGTTGCTCACAGGCACACGTGTTTATGGCTGACAACTCCATAGACTGTTTTTCATCTGGGGGTGGGGCCTTGTAAGAACTCCCCACCCATGCTGCATGCCCTGCTCTTTTACACGGGCCTGGGTATCGAACTCAGGTCCTTAAGCTTGCTGTGCAAGCACTTTAACAGTTGAGCCATCTCCTCAGCCCAATTGCTGTTGTTATAAAACAAGAATTTGGATCTGGTTTCCAGAGAATGGAAGCTGCTTGGTTAATAGTGACCTTCCAAGTGGGGAGTCTTCATTTGATGACACTGCCCTCATGGAGCCAGCGACCGCCTTCAGGGCTTGAGGAGGCGTTGGAGTCAGATGATCCGGGGATCCTAACTCCTGGGCTAACTGCCCTTAGCTCTTTCCAAGTGGGGCAGGATGGGTGTGACGGGCAGTCATTAAGGCCAGAAAACCACGCTTGGGGGTATAAATGAGAAGCCGGGATAGGGGTGTGGGGTCAACTAGGCAGATCAGATCTGAGTCTGAGGTGTTGTGCCACCTCCTGTGAGCTGTGCAAGCTCCCGGCAGCTCCTGGGCATCTCTGGACTACCTCGGTCTTTTTGTGGGATGTTTCTCGGACTGTGACAGATCTAAAGAATGTTCTCCAGGGACCAACATAGGCTGTCCTGGGAAGCCGGGCCTGGTGGCTTTCTGCCCCTTCTGCCCCTCACCCTCCACGATGCCCCAGAGGCCCGTCTTCCAGCTTCCCCCCCCCCCCCCCCCCCACCGCGCTACTCGGATGGTGGGGAGGCTAGGCTCTGGTGGACTTGTCCCCGAGTCCTACCTGGCTTTTCATGCTCTCAATCTCCTTCTGCCTGAGATCATTGTCTTCATCCAGGCCCTGGAGCTTCAGGGCACTCCTGTCGCTCTGCCTAGCTGTGGTGCCACAGGCGGCTGTCTCTGATAGCCTTTGACTCAGTTCAGCCAACTCACCCCGCAGGTTCATTATCACTGCATCTTTGTATTTGGACTCGATTTCAAAATCAGAGAGCCGATTGATTTCTCTCCCCAGTAGCATAATGATCTCATCCTGTGTGGGGACAAGAGGGAGGCTTAGCAGGGGTGGGCGTGGGTAGAGAGCTGGACCTGTTTCTACAATATGGAGGAAACGGGTGTCACCCTGGGAAATGAGGAGGGGGCCAGTGGGCAGAAGGACGAGGAGGCACAGACTGTCTCTTGGAAGGCCCCAGAGAGAGTAGAGTTGGGTTAGAACTACACACTTGTACCTAGGGGCCTATTATGGAACTTTTGGGGCACAGAAACTTCCTTTACCAAGAAAAAAAAATACTTTCACATGGTAAACCACACTCTCCCTGGGAATGTCGTGGGTAGGAAGATTTTGATTTCATTCTGTGTACTCACTTATGAGGCCTGCATCCAGGGTGTCAGAGACCCAGCATAGGTAATTAGAATGACATTCAATCCCAACACATTCTGACCATAACAAGGGTATTAATTTAACACTTTTTATGTATTCTGGAGGGGTCATTTTTTTTCTTCCTTCTATCTGGAATCCTCTACTTCCTCTGGAAGCCCCCGTGAAAGAGTATTCAGGGAAAACTCAGGTGTGGGGACTGTTGACAGTTTCCCACAGGTGGAGCCAATGTGCCATCTCCCAAGGAAAACACAGTGATCAAAGAATTTCCTCTGTTTTCCCAAAGCAGGAGAAGGTACCCCAAACCTTTCAGAATGTCAGAAAGACTGGAAAAACAGAATCCTAGCTGCATGCCTAGGGCACGGATGGTGTCAGGGGTATGAAGGAGCCTGCTGGCATCGCCAGCCGCTTCCATGTGTCTTTCTCGGGGTTCCTGTTGCAGATTCTGACAGACTCTGTGGTACTGGGTGGGGAGCCCCTGCCTCATCCAGAGTGAGCCACCCAGGGGCCTATGCTCAGCAGAGAATATACTCGGCCACTATTCACACAACAAGCATTTATTGGACACCTACTGTGAGCCTAGTTTTGCACTGGACCCTGGATATAAGCAAACCTTTGGATGTTGAGCAAAGGCTGGCTTTCTGGTGAAGTCCCTGTGCCCTCCTTAAGGAGTGCCACCCAATCCTTCCATGTGGTCTTGGTAACGTTCAATGTCAATCAAGTACCTCACTCCCTGTCCCTCCTCTTCAAGTTCCTGTGACCCAGGCTGGTCAACCAAATTTTCTCAGAACTCTTGTGTAGGGATTTTAAGATGGTGGTGGGGGCCCTGCATTGTTTCGTATCATGGAGTTTAAGTATAGAGGCTTGAGCTTGACCATAGTCATCCTGCCCGGGACAGGAAGCCAGCCTGCTGGAGAATGTCAAACTGCAGGAAGGACAAAGAGCAGAACAGGCAACAGCGAGTATTCCAATGACATCACTGAAGATCCAAGACCACCCAGCCATGCCTGAAACTTGTTAGCCTTTCAACTGTCCAATAAGATTGACTAATGAACATTTTCCACCCATTTGCTGATTGTCACTTGTCCTTGAAAGTGCCTTGGGAAGTTAGGGCATAAATGGCTCAAAATACCAAAAAAAAAAAAAAAAAAAAAAAAAAAAATCTGTTTTCATTGTATTCCCAGCTTAACAACTGTGGTGGATTAAACATAATGACAAATACTTTGTGGCTTTTGTCACTGAGTGGTATTTCTTCTGCCCACTGTCCAGCTTGTGACTGCAGGGGACAGACGGAAAGTCAAGAAGTGATATGCTGAGTGAGCTCTGAGCAAGCTGAGTGGACAGACGGAAGGTATGGAAGTGTCCAGAGGGAGGGGCTCTTAGCAAACTGTCAAGGCACTGCAGCGTCAGCCTCCACACCCTGGGGGGGGAGGGGCGCTGCTGGGCTGGGGGTGACTTGCTACAGGGTGACAGACTAGTGGCAATGTCTGCAAGGTGGCTTCTCATCTTACCACAGCACCTCACAGTCTGGTGTCAGCGTAGCAACCTCAGAACTGCCTCCTGGCCCTAGCTACAACACTCTCAGGCTGTGATCCTGAGGGTTAAAGGAACCCCGTGTTCCTGTTTCCCACATGCAAGAACCCCTTGGGCTCAGACACTGGTCTGTAAGGAAAGGGAGGCATTGTTGGGCTGTGTCCTTTTGTTGCTGCTTCGTTTGGACACAGAATCTCATGTAGCCCAGGCTGGCTTTGAGTTTATGACCTCAAGCCTCTCCTCTTGAGCAGGGGTATGTTTTCCCTACCCACGTGCAATAATCACTTGGGACTGACTGGGTGTGTGAGAGAGGTGCCCGGCCTGGATTTGAACTCAGTTCCACTTCTTGTGCTGCGCATACTTGGGCGTGCTACTGAACTTCTCTGACCAGACATTTCCCCACCAGTAAAGTGGAGGTGACCAAATCTGTTCTAAGGCCTATGAAGATGAAAGGAGCTGATCATGTCCTGAGGGGCTCAACCAGGCTCACAGTAGATGCTCAATAAACTGCAGGCACAATTATCTAGTAAATAAGACATGGATGCTGGACGGTGGTGGCGCACGCCTTTAATCCCAGCACTCGAGAGGCAGAGGCAAGCGGATCTCTGTGAGTTCGAGACCAGCCTGGTCTATAAGAGCTAGTTCCAGGACAGCCTCCAAAGCCACAGAGAAACCCTGTCTCGAGAAACCCAAAATAAACAAATAAGTAAATAAGACATGGTTTCTTGGAAAAGGACACAGAGAAGAAGAGGGGACAAGTTACCTGTGGCCTCTGACTGCTAAAGCACTGTGTCCTCCTCCCCTAATACCTCCTCACCTTGTCTTGCTGGCCTAGGTCCTGGTCCATGAAGATCTCGGTGGGAGGCACCGCCCCAGAGAGCCCTTCGACCACACATTGTTCTGACAGTTCCATGGCACTGGCCCACACTGTGTGACATCCAAAGAGAACAAGTCACAGTGGGGTCCCAAGTTTGGAGAAGCCCCATACCCTGCACTGTCATCATGGTTTCCCCTCGAGGGTCACATTCCTTTTTGCTCTTTGAGAAGGGGTCTTGTTACACAGCCCAAGCTGCCACAAATTCCGCATGTGGTACATGGTGGCTCCAAAGTCTCTTCGGTCTTCCAGCCTTAGTCTTCTGAATGCTGGGATTACATGCAGAAGCCGCACATCGTGCTCTGTGGTTTACATTTTCCCTGGCTTTGTTGTTGTTGTTTTTATTGTCATCATTCAAGCAGGGTCTCACTATGAAGCCCTAGCTGGCCTCAGACTCACAGAGATCCTCCTGCCTCTGCCTCCAGAGAGCTAGAATTAAAGGCGTGTGCCACCATGCCCAGCCTTTATTATTTTTTTTAAGTTTGTGTTTGTGTGTGTGCCTGTATGTTCCTGTGTACATGCCTGTGGGAGGGTGTGTGTGCATGTGTGTTTAGGTGTGTGTGGAGGCCAGAGGTCGATGTTGGGTGACTTTCTCTACCATTCTCCATCTTATTGTTTGAGACAGGGTCTCCCTAAACGCAGGGCTCAATGTTTGGGTATTCTGGCTGCCAGTGAGTTCCAGCAGTCTCCTGTCTCTGCCTCCCCATTGCTGGGATTACAGATGTTCACAGTCCTGCTTTTCATGGGTTCTGGGGACCTGAACTTGGGTTTTTATGCTTGGGCAGCAGGCACTTTGCCCCCCGGAGCCGTCTTCCCAGCCACCTCTCTAATTTGAAGAGCACAGAGCAGTGTGGATGGTGAAAGGCAATGACATCGATGCCGAAGGACTGGTCAGCAAAGAAGCCACCTCCCTCTCTGCTCCATCGCTATGTGACCTGCCAATCTCTGACGAGTCTTTAAGATCTGCTGACTATGAGTGGGTCATTAAGCCTCTCTCTGCCTTTGTTTCCACATAGGTAATTCAGAGACTCCAATAGTCTCTATCACAGAGAGCCATTACCAGATCAAACAAGTAAGACGTAGAGTAGCCTTGGCTCGGGGACCAACTGGGCCTTGAACACATGGCAATCCTCCTGCCTCAGCCTCCCAAGTGTTGGCGTCACAGACATGAGTCACCAGACCCATAAAATGCTTTGGAAAAAAATATCTTTTTTTGGTTATTTTTAATTATATGCAGGCGTGTGTCTGCACGTGCACTTGTGTGCAGGCATCTGAGGCCAGAGTCCTTGTGTACTCTGGAGCTGGAGTTGCATACAGTTATGAGCCACGTGATTAGGTGCTGGGAGCTGAACTCCAGTTTGACGCAAGAGAAGCCAGTGCTCTTACCCACTGAACCATCTCTTCAGCTTCCTAATGCTTTTTAAAAATAAATTTTGGGGGCTGGAGAGATGCCTCAGAGGTTAGGAGAACTATCTGCTCTTTCGAGGACCTGGTTAAATTCCCAGCACCCACATGGTGGCTCACAACCATTCCTAACTCCAGTTCCATCCTCTAACCTTCTTCTGGCCTCCTCAGGCACAGCACAGAATATCCATGTACATCAAATCAAATCAGTAAGTCTGTAAAACCTTTTGAGCTGGGCAGAGGTGGTGTACACCTTTAACCCTAGCACTTGGGAGACAGAGGCAGGCAGATCTCTGTGAATTCAAGGCCAGCCTGATTGACCTACAGAATGAGTCTCAGGTCAGCCAGGGTTATAGACTGAGACCCTTTCTCAAAACCAAACAAACCAACAAACTTTTAAAAATAAAGTTTTACCAGAACATGGCTGGAATCATTCACTTTTGGTCCATCTACAGCTGCTGCTTTTTGCTCTACAGGGACAAAGACTTTAATTTCAACACAGGCCATGTGGCCACAGAGTATAAAATATTTGCAATTGGCTTCTGGGACACTGTAATATAATCAATATACAATGTCTCTCAGCTGAGCCTGTAATCACAGCTACCCAAGAGGTTAAGACATTGCAAAGGAAAAACAAGAGTTTTCTTTAGCGGAGTCTTGCTGGGTATGCAAACCACCCCTAAAGGCAGACCTGTGCCCAGCAGTATATTGTGCCAGGCTTTTTCTTTTGGACCACCAACCAACTCCCAAATGATGACAGAGAGACTTAATGTTAGTTGTGTGAATGCTCGGCCTGATTTTGTGCTCATTTCTTGCTGGCTTTTAAAACTTAACCTGTTTCTCTTCATCAAAGCTTTTTACCCTTTCTTTCTGTAGGCCCCACTTTTCCTGCTTCTTCCATGTCTGTCTGTCTGTCTGTCTGGTGGCTGCCTTTCTGGCTGGTCCTGGACATCTCTTTCTCCCTGGTTCTCTTTGTTCCTCTTTCCTAGCCTAGCTTTCCCTTCCTATTTATTCTCTCTGCCTGCCAGTCTGCCTATCCCTCTCCTGCCTAGCTATTGGCCATTCACCTTTTTATTAGACCCATCAGGTGCTTTAGGCAGGCAAGGTGAAAAAGCAACACATCTTTACATAATTAAACAAATGCAGCATAAACAAATGCGACACATCTTTACATCATTCACCAAGGCAGCAGAAACCCGAGACTCCTGAGGAGGGGTTGGGGTAAGAGTGGGACCCTACCCCAAAGGCTGTGTGTTTCCACACTACAAAGCAGTGAGAGGGCAGTGGTGGGGATGACATACCAGTGTTAAGTTAGACTAGAGTGGATCCTTCCTCCGGGGGAAGCTCTTTCCCTAGTGAACGTCACTCTCTTCCCACCCGCACTATAGTATCGGAACGTTTCTTCCTCCGGGGGAAGCTCTTTCCCTAGTGAACGTCACTCTCTTCCCACCTGCACTACAGCTTCCCAGGGCAAATGGGGTTTCCCTTACCAATACTCCTGCAACAAAGGGAATCATATAGATCCCACTAAACACTGTATCTGTGAACACACATGCACAAATACACACACCCTGCACAGGGAACTGCAGTGTGGACTGGGGCTCTGGGGACGTCTGGGAGACAAACAGGAGCTTGAAGGGGGATCCAGGTGTTACAAGTGCACAGCTGTTTTCCAGCTGTTCCCTTATGTTCTGTTTATTTTTAATTAATTTTTCATTCCTTCCTTCCTCCCTTCCTTTTTAAGACAGGGTCTCATTATGTAGCCCTGGCTGTCCTGGAACCCACTATGTAGACCAGGATGGCCTCAAACTCACAGAGTTCTGCCTGTTTCTGCATCCTGAGTGCTGGGGTTAAAAGTGTCCCAGCTTTATTTATTTAAGAAGTTTCTCATGTAGCCCAGGCTAGCCTTGATGCACCATGTAACCTAGGATGGCGTTGATCTTCTGATCCTCTTATGCCACCGTGTCAGGTTTTGTGCAATGCAAGGCTTCAAGGCCTTCATGCATACTAGGCAAATACTCTATGACTACATCCACAGCCTTCCCTCTTTATTTAAGTAATCATGTTTTTATATTTTATTTATTTTGAAAATTTATTTGTCTATTATGTACACAGTGTTCTGCCTGCACATATGCCTGCATGCCAGAAGAGGGCGCCAGACCTCATTATAGATGGTTGTGAGCCCATATGTACACAGTGTTCTGCCTGCACATATGCCTGCATGCCAGAAGAGGGCACCAGACCTCATTATAGATGGTTGTGAGCCCAACTCTACATTAGGGTGGCCTTGAACTCAGAGATCTGCCTGCTTCTGTCTCCCAAGTGTTAGGGTTAAAGGTGTGCGCCAACTCTGCCCAGTTCAAAACGTTTTACAGTCTTACTGATTTGATTTGATGTACATGGGTGTTCTGTGCTGTGCCTGAGGAGGCCAGAAGAAGGTTAGAGGGTGTCAGATGCCCTGGAACTGGAATTAGAAATGGTTGTGAGCTGCCATGTGGTTGCTGGGAATTGAACTCAGGACCTCTGGAAGAGCAGCCAGTGCTCTTAATCTCTGAGCCATCTCTCCAGCCCCGACCCCGTATCATTTCATTTTAACTCTGTGTGTGCACCTGTGCGTACGCGTGCTCACGCCCCATAGCAGTGTGAGGAGGTCAGGGGACAGATTGCAGGAGTTAATTCTCTCCTTCCATCTTGTGGGCTCTGGGAATCAAATTCAGGTTGTCAGACTTTGTGGCAAGCCCCTTTACCTGCCCAGCCCTCTGGCCTGCCCACCATTATGCCTTTTACAATTACAGTTCATTTTTAGAGTCAGAGAAAAGTGAAGAACAAGGCCCATCTATCTTCATGGCCTTAAATCCTTGCCAGAAGCCACCCCTAGAGCCTGGCACATACCTTGCTTGATGACAGGGGACTTGGGGTCCATCACAAAGGAAAACATCTTCCCGTTGGCACTCATGGGCCGCTGGTGAGGGGCAGGCGGGACCATGTTGGGCCTAGGACAACCCTGTGACCAACTTCTCTGCACTGATGATGGCCAGAAGCCCTGGTGGAAGGGCATGTGTGGTGGCGAGGGTGACTGGTGTGGCTGCTGTGTGCCCTGAGATGGCCAAGTTGTTGTTGGGCCCCTCACCCAGGGGCAGGAGACCTGCAGGGAAGACAAGAGGCTCAGAGGAGGTGGCATTCAGGCACAGCATGGCCTGCCCTATGACCCAGCCTGTGAGTCACTCCCTCCAGGACACCTTTTTGTATGCTCCTCATGTTCGGGCCAGTGAGCTAGCCATGGGACCCTGGGTCACCATCCTACTCTGCCAAGACATCACCATGTATTTGCTCATTTAATACATCAGTGCCGATGACGCTGAGGACGGGCAAGATCATGTTGTAAAAATGTGTGAGAATCCAGCCACTGTTGAGCCCTCAACACTTGCAGGCCGCCTCCTCCTCCTCACAGACGCCTAACAGACTCCCAGGGGCCAAGGTCTCTCACCCGGAAGTGATTTTGCATCAAAGAGGGTACTGGTGGCATACATCCTGTTCCCCTCCCCTGCCTCCTGCCTGGGAACTGGAGAGCCTGGCTGCGGGTGTGCGCTGTGAAACCTTCCCATACTTGGGAATGTGTAAAAAGAGACTCCACTTTGGCCACGTGGGCCTTGGTTCCCCTCTTCAGAGCCTCCACCATGCTGTCAATCTCTGGTTCTGGGGCCTGAACTCTCCTCAGAGCCCATGCCATCCTGTTGTCTCTTTGACTGTCCACAGTGTTTGTCAACTATTTGAATACACCCCATACCCACCATGATCCATCTCAGTGCCCTCTGGTGCGCAGGCCACTGAGAGCTGGGCCAGCTCCAGGGACCCAGCCCCAGCAATTCTTCCATTCTCATTGGGTCCTTCTATGGGTCCCAAAGCTAAGAACTCGGGCGTCAGTGTGGGATGCCACCTCCTCCACCTTCATCCTCAACCTCCTGAACACCTGGTTCCAGCAGGTACTTTCATAGACACCTGGATTCTGGGACCCGATGAAGGTGTCTGTGGCTGCTTCAGTGGAGATGCTGGCAAGAGCCTTCCCCCAGGGGAGATGTCAGGATCTGTCCCCTCAGGAGAGGCTACACTGACGCAGAACTTGTAATGAGGCTTCTCCCCCGTGCCTTGTCATTCAATGATGACGGCAACAGGGCTGTGGTCTGCTGCACTGGCCTCACCTATTCCCACAGCAGCCCTTGGATGAGTCACCCGGGCTCAGGGAATGCTGGAGAGGGCCCGGGCTCTAGATCTCACAGCTCCTCTCTCTCTCATTCTGCATCCCTGCCCATATCTTTCATCTCCTTCCCTCTCTGTGTTCTCTGTTTCTCTCTCTCTCTCTCTCTCTCTCTCTCTCTCTCTCTCTCTCTCTCTCTCCTTTCTGCCCCCTCTCCCCCACCACCACCTCTGTGTGTGCACCCATGCCCTATCCCTGTCTCTCTCCTTCCTCTGGGAACACCCAGCAGACTTTCCAAGCACCAAGCTCTGCTGAGAGCTTTGTAGCCCCAGTATTTCCAAGGCTGTCACCTCTCTTCTTAAACACTAGACCCATGAGGGGCAGACAGCCATTTCTAAACTGGAGCTCACTGAGACCTCTTCTGCCATGTCTCTATCAAAGGAAGGCTATCCCCTGCTCAGGGCCTGACTTGGTGTGAAGCAAGTCAAGGACCCCAGGCATCCTAGATTACTCTTAGAGCAGTGAGGAGAGAAGTATCCAGGGAAACTGAGTCACCTAAGAACGCTAACCCACTGACCCACTTTGAGTCTGTTTCCAGGAAGGGGACGTGGTTGGGTTCTGTTCCTGGCTGGGCCCTCTAGCCTCAGTTTTTTTCTAGACTGTTCTAAGTGGATTAATAGGTGCTTACTGAACATGCGGACTGAATGCATCTTGGGTGAACCAACTGCAAGGGTACTGAGGGATGAGGAATCTCACCTCCCAGACCACAGGCAGGACCCACTCCCCATCTTTGGTCCATGGTGGTTCTAGGACTCCTCCCCCATACTGTGGGAGGGACTAGGTAAGCAGCAGTCACATCTCATGATGTGATTCTGAGGACTGGCTTAAGGATCACGTGCTCCAAGCAGTGCTGAGTAGACTAGGCTAGACCCTAGAGTCTTCAGCTACAGCTGACTGTGCAGCAAGTGGGGCGGAGTAGACTAGGCTAGACCCTAGGGTCTTCTGCTACAGCTGACTGTGCAGGGTTGAGGATGTAGCAACCCCAAGGGAGGAGAGGGGGAGTGGGGTTCTTAAAATCTGTAACCACACAAAGTCCCAGAGGACGTGACGGGTGTGGTGCAGCATACCTGGAACCCCAGAACTTGGGAGGCCGAGGTTTGAAGAACATAATTTTGAGGGTGATGTGCACAGAGGCCCTGTCTTTAAAAATGCACAAAATTTACCCCATCTTAAGCAGTTTTTAAGGATGTATTTATTTTATGTCTATGGTGCTTTATTGTGGTTTTTGGCAATACAGATTCCCCACAGCTCACTGGACTGTCAGTCTGGTTGAAACAGTGAGCTCCAGGTCCAGGGAATGACCCTGTCTAAGGTCCAGAGTGATGGAGGAAGATACCCAGTGTCAACCTCTGGCTTCCACACGCATGGGTGAGTGCACCTGCACACCCACTGACACTCTGCCCCGCCCAAGACAGGGATGGACAGAACATTAACAATGCAGAGAAGTGTCATGTCTGCGGCCACTACATTTTGAACAGCAGGCATCTTCTTCCAGCACGTGGAAGCTAGCATCCAATGCTGCGGAGAAGTCTATTAGGAGTTGGGGTTGTTAATGGACATGGGAGGTCCCCTCCCCTGTCACGTCTCATTTCACCTTTGTCTTACTTACAGACATAAGCATGGATCCCACCAGGATTTGGGTTACAAACTCACTTGTGTGTCAGGTTTCACCATGAGCTGGGGTAGGGGTGGCAACATTTGTTAAGACTCGTGCCATCCAGGGGTCACAGTACCAAGCATCTATGTAGCTATGTGTGTGAGGGATGTGCTATACAGTGTATCAGTCCATGCTATCCACACAGGCTTCATTTTTCCCCAGAGCTACTCATTAGACAAAGACTGACAGAGTCCTGGCTGAGCCCAGCACCTGGCATAGGGCCTGGCACTTACTGATGGTGTCTGCTGACCCATCTGGGCTCACATTTGTCCAAGCAGAGTGGTGCAAGCACAAGGGTTTTGGCTGATTCCGGGGCTTG